CAGATTACGGCTTATTGATTATTGTCAAGAACGGAGTGAGTTACTTGTTGGGTGCTCCACGGTCTTCTTTTATTGCTTACAGATTATTGTCTTTTTTACGACCTCACCTCTTCCTCAGCTCTTCCGACCTAAAAGAGCTCCATTCAATTTTTTGCACTTCGGTTGCAAGACGAACTCTCTTCCCCATTCTTTTTCCTGGCGTTTCCGACACCCAAACGCTCCCTCCCTCCTTATTCCACCACCATGTCCTCCCACGAAGACGACGGCCCTTCCCCCCTTACGAGAATCGCTCAATTGGAGTCTCTCGTAGAGCAATTACGAATGGCCCCTCGCCAGCGCAAATGCGTCCTTCCGGATCCCGATAAGTTCAACGGTACGGTTCAGCGGTGGGATACTTGGCTCCCCTTAATCAAGGCCAAGCTTCTCGTCGACGGTGAGGCTCTTAGCGGACCCACTGCGCAGTTCTACTACGTTTACTTCAATATGGAACCCGGTCCCTAAGCAATGGTTTTGACTCAATTGGCCTCAGCTCAAGACTCCGGCAATTGGGATTACAATACTCTTCTGGATCAGCTCGCTCTCGCTTACGACAATCCAAACAAAATTCAAAAAGCTGAGGATAAGCTGCTTGCTTGCAAGCAAGGTACGGACGCTCTCCATATCTACGTCTCACGCTTCGAACGACTTTTGCACGCTGCTCGCTGTCAGACTTGGCCCGACGCTAATAAGATTATTGCGTTCCGCAATGGTCTGAACTCAACTATTCGGACCCGTTTGAATGGCCAATTGACTCTCCCAACTACGTATACCGAATACGTACACGTCACCCAGCAGCTCGGACGCTCTTTCGGCCCTTCCGGCCCGTCCCACGGATTTTCTCGTTCTTCGGCTCCTTCGGCCCCTCTTCAAAACCGCCCTCGCACGTCAACGGGCCCTCCTCCCGGCGACCCAATAGACCTTTCAGCAGTCGACCGCGCTCAACAACTCGAGCAATTGCAGCACGCCAACGAGCTCGGCGCTATAGAGCTTATCGACGCTCACGAGGCTGACCAAACTCAGCTGTTGGAAGACCGATACCCCACTCTCCAGCATGCTCCTCACAGCACTCTTGATCAGCGCGAAGCTTGGCGCAAATCAAATCGCTGTACCCGTTGCGGTGCAATCGACCACTGGATAGCTGGCTGTACCTTTCTTCCAGCTAAGCCCTTGACAAAAAAGCGAGTTCTTTGGGACCCTTTTTCGGACCGACCTGTCAGGGAAAATGAGGGTTTAAGCGAGTTTGACTCGGACGAAAGGGAGGAAATTTTGGCGGAATGGAACGCTTCTGGAGGCTACGACGCTGACCCTGACGATTATCGCGATCTGTAGCCTCGGCGTATTTTTTGGTTTTTTTTCAGCAATTCCACCCGTGAACCATAGTTCACGACTGAATTTTTTTTATTTTTTCCTTCCTCTGTCGGATACTTTTGAGAGAGCTGGGACCGCTCTCTAAGGGGGTAGTGTGACAGCCTGCCTTGTTACCTGCAGTCAGCTGATCATCCATTCAGGCCTAGCGCCTGTGGCCATGTATATAGACCTTCCTGAGCTCCCCGAGCTTCCTGTTTCCTCTCCTCACTTTGTATTCTAAGGTCAGAATTCATCAGTTCGTCACATGCTAAGCAATTAAAAAAAGCTTTTCTACCTTTAATTCTTTCGCTACACGAGTACTTATAAGCTAATAAAAAGGTCCAGAGTATGCTCCGTAACTAGCCCATTCCTTTTTTTAAGCGCGTCCTTAACTTGCCTCGCAGCGTAGCATTTTCGTACTTCTTTCATAGCTTTGTTAATAGCAGCAGTACGCTCTTAAGTAAACGCGGCAAGTCGATCTTGTTCCGTCAGCTTTAATAAGGTCTTAAAAACGAGAAGTATAAGAACTAAGCTATTAAGTCTAGCTGTATCGTTAATAGCTTTAATAATTATTTAAAGCCGATCTTCCTTTAAAGCTTTTAAAAGCTTTTTTATGACGATCTCAAAAGCGCGTCGTACAAAAACGTAATAGCGTTCCATTAGCCCGACGTTATAATAAGCTTGTCGGTATATCCATATCGACCTTGGCTAGTAATAATAGTAGTTGAAGGAGCTCACCCGTGAACCATGGTTCACGGGCCACTTGGCATGCCTCGCTTAGCATGCCAACAGTTAAGGGACCTTCAACTTGACAAGTAAACTTATTAGCTAGCTAATGCACGTGATTCCTTCTAATCATATAAAAAGAGTCAGCTCTCTTAAGCATAAGAGAGCAGTTAGAATTTAAAATACCTTATCAACCGAGTGTTTTGCAATTGCAAGTACTTTAACGACCGTTACGACTTTACGAATATATATTCTTAATCGCTTAAAAACAATCCAACACTGATCAGTAGTTGATTTATTATTAAGTGATCAATCATAAAGAAGCTAAGACTCTATAGCGAAGATACCTTTATTACGATACCTTTCTTTTATAACGGAAAAGCGATTCCGTACTAAATCGCTTTTTATACTACCGATTTTCCTTATTCTTACGGAAAAGTGATTCCGAACTAAGTCACTTTTATACAACTCTTAACGCTATAAAAGCCGCGCTTGCTATATATAACAACCTAATTAATTTAGATCGACTTATATACAACTAAATAACAATTATAGCCGATCGAGCAACTAGACCTTTAAGTAAAGAGTCTAGCCGACAAAGAGCAGTAAAGTATTATACTTCTCGAGTCTTATCACTACTTACGGAACCCTTAGCTATTCAATTAAAAGAACCATTATACTTAAAGCTCTTAAAGCTATCGGAAAAGCTAGATGACGAGATATCGAGCATCTCATTTGACTTAAACGAGCTATTATACGCAAAGCTAAATAATAAAATTACAGCTCGAGCGATAATAAAAGACTTTTTAAATGCGAAGTGTAAAAGGCTAAAGGATTACGACTTATAAAGCTTATTCCGGCACGCTTTCTTACGCTAGGATTAAACGAGTTTTACGATGACGAAAAACAATACGAGACGAAGCTTTAAGTTTGCTACTTTTATTAGCTTTAAAAAACACTTGCTATTTAAAGGCGTATAGTGCCTTCTAAAGCAAAGAAGCTACGCTAATAAGATAGTTAAGCTTTTGAACGACGAGCAGCAACACTAATAAACCTTTTAAGAAATAAAAAAGCAACAAGCAACACTTTTAAGCTTCGATTTAAAGTGGACCGCCGAAAACCTTACGGACGACGACGACGACGATATTACACTTTAACTACCTTTACTTCCGCGCAGTTTAAAAAAGAAAGAAAAAAAGACCTTAAGCAAAAAAAAAGAAAAAGAAGAGATCCGAAAGTTACGAGAAGAGTTTTTAAAAGAAAAGAGAGATATAAAACGCAATATAAAGGCTATAGCAAAGCAAATAGCGGAATTACGGACTTACGCTATATAATCTAACGAAAAGCTACGACGAAGCACTTTAGCGTACTTATCCTTAGTTTAATAGTCGCTACGCAATACGCTAATCATATAATAAGAGCTAAAATCGCTTTAACGGCTTTTAAACCTTTTTCTTAAAAGCTATAATCGAGTTTTTTAAAAGCCAAGACCGAGTAGCAATAACAACGGCCTCGAAAACATAATCGAGCTTAATAATACGCGAAGCAATAGCAGCTATACGCTAAAGGAAGATCCGCTAAAACTTAAAAGCATTTCGAATAAAATCAGCTCTTATTAAAGATAACGTGCAGATTTCCGTGCTTAACTTTAGCAACTCGAAAGAAGGATCTAACACTCTCGAACGTATCGATAAGCTACTTATATCTCTTAAAAAGCTACGTATTAGTAAAAGAGATACTAAAAGTATAAGAATCGCTAAAAGCGTGCTTAAAAGTACGGATATTATTAAGCTAAAGCTTTAGCCGATGATCCGAATAGCTTTAGCGATCTTAACAATGACCGACGAAAAGGTAACGGAAAAGATTAGCAAAGAGATCGAAGCTACGGGTACGAAAGAAGTAGAAATAAGCCTTTTAAATTATAAAAAGGATTCGGAAACAGACTCTTAAGAGACCTCGGATCCGGAAATGAGCCTCTTAAGGACTTTAAAAGAAGACGGACTACCGGCAACTATATCGGTAACACTTTATCGATCAGATTATTAGCTCGGCAAAGCACACTTGCGTATAGCACTTTAAGCGCTTTTGACAACGATAACGATGATTTCTTTAAGCTAAGAGCAATTAACCCTTACTTAAGAGCAAAAGAGTTAGCTTTATTTGCAAAAAGCTTTTTTAAAGAACTAAAGTATTCGAGACCCGACGATGACTTTAAGACTTAATTAAGTATTTTCGTTAACTAAGCAAGTCGGTACGGCTTAACATCCGACGACTATTTAACAGCGTTTTTAATTATGCTTACGAAAGAGGCTATAACCTTTTATTACAATCATATGATCAAGGCTAAGCTTTTTACGTTTAAAGCGAACGCTATTGCTATAAAAGACTACTTCGAAACTGATTACCGGCGGCAAGCAAAATACGACCGCTAAAAAGAAATTTCGCTAGATTTAATTAAGAAAGAGAATTCAAGGACCACGCTTAACGAGTGCTTTGAGAAGCTCGCTAAAGAGCTTAAGGGCATTCAAGGCTTTTTACGACTAAATTTAAAAAACGATCGAAGTCTTGCTAACAAGTTATATTTAGCTTATAAAAACGTATTAAAGATTACGATTGCACGAATGAATCTTGCTTTTACTTTTACCGTAGCAGTTGCTAATATTCGTCGAGCAATTGCTTTTGCAACTAAAACCTTTCGACCTTTCGTTAAAGCTAAAGCTTACGCGAGCTTTAGCGAGCTATACGATCACACTTGCTCTTAACACAACACTTTAAAAGCTGACTCCGATTTAAACGAAAAATACGAATGCTTTATTCAAGACCGTTAATACTTCGGAAGTAAGAAAGCTGTTAAAGCTAATGAAAGTGAGAAAAAGTGTTTTATTTATAAAAAGCTAAGTTGCTAAAGCACTAACTACACCTCCGACGAAAAGAAAGCATCCGTCGCTAAGTTTCAAAGCTTTAAGGACGCAAAAAAAGTAACGAAAAGCAAATTCTTTTAATACGTAGCGTCGATCGAAAATTTGCTACTTATATCTACGAAAGAATTCGATTAGTTTATCGCAAGCTTATTAAACGAGCCGCCCGAATCGAGCAGCTACGCTAATATGTTAAAAGGTTTTATAATTATTTACGGCACTTTTAACGCTAACGAAGTATACAAGCAACTAGAGATTTAGACGGCATTCTACGCTCTTACTAGCTAAATCGAGACTTAAAACGTGCTTACGAGTAAAGCAAAGACTTACATAGCTTCTAAGTATTTTGAAAACGTGTTTATAAGCTTTATAATTAACAGCGGAGCAATTAATTTCTTTACCGCTAGCTTGCTTTAGCTACGAGCACTTTAAAAAAAGTACTTCGAAGTCTAATTAGATATATCTCGAGCAAAAGAAAAGTTAATCAAATATAAGATTAGCTTTGCTACTTTTATTAAAACAGTTACTTTGGAAACGCTTTTAAATCAAGTAGAGTTCTACGTTGTGAAGAGCGACGTACTTTTCTTATTCTTATTAGCTGATATAGATAAGCATAAAGTGATCTTAAATAACTTGCGAAACGTGCTAGTTTAAGAGAAAAAAAAAATACTAATAGTAAAGATATTTAAGCACGTGTAAATGCTATTAAATAAAAAGCACGCTGCTACTTATTACAGCATCGAGGGCGAGACCGTTTATTGCTACTTTACGAAAGAGCAATTAAGAATTATTTATAAGCGTTTTAGCTACTCTTTAGCAAGTCGATTTGCTGCTATCCTTAAAAAGGCCGAGTACGAATTTAAACGGGATTTGCTTTATAACATTTAAAAGTTTTGCTACTACTGCTAAGTATTCGGACGCTCTTCGAAGAGGTTTAATATCAAGCTTAAAAATGATACTGACTTCAATGACACGGTATACGTAAACGTAATACACTTTAACGGCAAAAACGTATTACACGTCGTTTACGACTTTATTAATTTTTAAGCCGCTACTTTCTTTAAAAGCATATCCGCATAGCATTTACTTAAAAGATTTAGTCGATGTTAAATTAATACTTACGTTAGACCTTTTACAAACGTAATATACGATTTCGAAACTAACTTTAATTCAGCGACGTTCCGAAGCTACTTTAAAAGTATTAGCAGCATCTTAAAGCAGATGCTTATGGAAGCCTATCATAGCGTCGGGCTAATAGAACGCTATTACGTCCTTGTGCGACGCGCTTTTAAGATCGTCACAAAAGAGCTTTTAAAAGCCTTAAGGAAAGACCGGCTT